GAGCCCCGGCCGGACCAACACTCAGGGGCTTAAAATAGTTGAGAAAAATATGCTACCTTTCTATAACATAAAGAAATGTTTAGATATTCTAGTTTTCTCAGATAGGGACAATGAAATGGAGGTCCTGTCTCCTGCAGGGTTAAGGGCAGGAGACGTTAATTTCCCACGCACGAGATTACTGTGTGGTGGATGTCCTCCCTTGGGGTGGGATGGGTGGTAAACAGTACCTCCGTTGATACCAGTGTTTACAACACTGAAGGGGCTATCCTGTATGTCTACTCTACTCTCTTCCAGATAGGAGGGGGTCTCAGGACAAATACTTGTATACATACATACCAAGTACAAGTTGATCCAGTGCTGCCTGACAAATGACTAAAACCTGTATAATGGGTTGTAAGTAATGTCAGTTGCATACAGCCCATTATGTTGTATAATGCTTAATGTCATGATTAAATATTGTTACTGCTTGACATCATAGCTATTAATAGGATCAATAGTTTTGATTTGTGCTATTGTAGCCTATAAAAATAATTTTACTCACTCAGACATTCTTTTCACAACTGCTCTAGCTTACATGTAAGTTTTGGAAAGGAATCGGGCCTTTCATTCATACCTTGACATTTTTCAAGTGGACAAACTTACGCTTTGTTGCAGATTACAATACAACATAACTATTTTGAATCATAAATATGTTGATAGCATTGTTGGGAAATGACTGATCTTTAATGTAGTAATCAGTAAGTCTTATGTGGCTGTAAGGTGATCTTGACTGACATCACTGCATGTGATTAGTGCACATGGTTATATATGTTCTTTTACTGAGTTGCAGATGAATGTAAAGGTCTTACCTACCAACAGAAGAATAAGAAAGCATCTAAAAAGTGGAGAGAAAGAAGTGACCTGGAGAATAAAAAGTTTGTGGATTCTGCGAAAGTTTATAAAGAATTAAATGTCAAAGTATCAGAACTCACGGAAGAGTAGAAAAGAAAACTAATTGATAGACACAGAAAGAAATTTTTGGAAGAGGTACGATTAATACAGCTGTGTGTGTTCACCCTGATAGAGTTACGTTGTCTACCTCCAAAAAACATTAATAATACTAACAGTAATTATGAATTATTCATATCGAGCATTTCCTTAGGGGATTTAAAAGAAATGTTTTTAGGCTAGACCTATATCTTAATAATTAAGACTGAAAATAATATAACCTTTTTTTGATTGGCTTATTTCATTGAATGTATAGATCCTGGTTCTTGAAGATTTGTGTTTTCAGACATCGACATTATATCTGGATGTCAGTGGTGAAGTGTACAACCTTGGATCTAGGGCTGGAACAGCATTTCTTGCAACTAATCAAGAGATAAGCATAAAACTTCGAGAATATTTTGGTAAGAAAGACAATATTTGCTTTCAAACAGTGAAATTTTATGTGACAGGTTCACCATAATTATTTACTTTAAGTAAGGTTAAGAATATGGAATCGAGTGAACTGTTTTGCATTTTAAACCAAAGATGGCATTTGCAACCAATATCCTATTTGTGGGTTGTGGCCATATAAGAGATGTAAGGTTCTTAATCAACCCTTGATCAACCCTTTTCCTCCCCAGTCCTGCCTGTCTCTTGTTTTATGGTATCATCGTGTATAAGTTTTAGTGTTTGATTGCCCTCGCCTGAGTAACAGGCAATACATTAAGATTTTAATAAAGCGGTTACCCTATATGAGTTATCCTTACAAACACAGCGCTGCAGATATTTCATTCACTGATTAAGGTCTGCCATTTTTTGGGAAAACTGGAGCATAAAACATCCTTTTTGTGGTTGTTGGTGGACTTCGTGAAGTGCCCATTAATGGAGCTAAGAACTATGAAAATAAACTGCACAATTTGGCAGTTTATTTCAAGGAAGGGAGCATGTCTTCAAGAGCTGAGTCAAAGATGATGTTAATAAGTAAGATCAAGATGCTGACACTGCTGTGATCTTAGCAAACAGGATAATGTCTTCATTGAGTCACCTATATCAGTTTTGCCATCTACCTTAGAGTCTGATACAAGGAATTTCAGTGAGGGGTTGCATCTCATGGGACTACAGTACAAAATCCTATTTGACAGGGACTCGTTTTGATACCAAGAATAATTCATTTTCAAGTACTCCAGAGTTTTTAAACATTACTGTTGTAGGTGTTGTAACCTTTTCAAAATTAAGGTACATGTATGTAAGTTGAGCCACATACATATGGGCCTTTAATAGAATCCTCATGTGAAACTTACATGTAGCTGCCATTCATATCTTGTTTACATATTAAGTCTTTTGTTTACTTTCTGTTTTATAGGTGCAAATAATCAGCAATTTACTATTGCTCATGTGCAAGACCTTTTCAACAAGAAATCCAGTAAGTGTTTAAAAAACTGCAGAATTTGTCATTAAAAAACTACGTTTTGTATGTAACTAATAGTTTGAGTTACAAATAGAATGTACTAAAGGAATGTAAATTTAAGTTAAATACTTGTATAAGTTATTTCAGAAATATAGTTTTTCTGGTTTAGTTAAGAACAGAATTAATTACAGTTCGATGTGCCTTTCTGTAGCCACCCAACAAACATTTTTGCAAGTTAGCCACCGATCAAGGTATGCGACTTTCATTCACAGATGTGCCTCATGGAACAACTAAATGAAGGCATGCCCGTCAATCAAATTGACACACCCTGATTGGCTAGCTTGTAAAAATGTTTGTTGGTGGCCACAGTAAGGCACGTTGCACTGTAAAACTAGAACTGAACTCTTAGACATTTTATGACCTTCAGCAAGTTATGATTATTTTTAGGTGATGCTTGTGGTAAATCTAGCAAAGTTCCATATTTGAAAAGTGGATTCGAGGTCCATGGTCTCCCAGAAGGCATTCCCTTCAAGAAGCCATACAACTATGGGCGGATTCAGCTCAAATAGATAATGTTGCGTGCAGACAACATTAATTTTACCATTACATCCACTTCAGCATGTACATCTACTTCAGGGTCTACATGTACTTTAGCATCTACATCTACTCCAGCATCTACATCTACCCCAGCACCTACATCCATTTCAGCATAGATCTACATCCACTTCAGCACCTACATTTACTTCAGTATCCATGTCTACATCTACATCTGCCAGTACTTCAACATCTACATCTACTCGATCAATAATCACCGACAGTGCACCTGCAACATGCTCTGTTGATATCGACTATTCCAGTGCAGCTGACATTCAACATGTTTTGACAAAAATATGTGGCATAGAAGCAGCTAAACATGCACTGGGTGGGGGAAGGATTGAAGAAGAGGAAGTGGAGGTAGTAGATTTGTGCCTTTCAGCTCCAGAAAGGCTGACCCTGTATGCTTCCTGTACTCACCTCTTTACAACAGATGCCTGGTTATCTGTTGGTGTGAGGATGAAGCATTCTGATGAGGCAACAAGCTTGGTCTTACCCATCTACACAACAGCTGATCAGCAATTCTGGCTTTTATACACCACCTCAAAGCCAACAAGAATTGTGAAATCAGTCAGTACCACTAAGATAAGAGGTCACTGGCTTGATCTTAGGCGTGATGGCTCTTTTGATGTTTAAAATAATGATCAAGTACTGGGAAAGAATATTATTCGCACTGCCCATGGCCCTCTTTACTCTGAGTGTTGTGTAAATTTGGATTCTGGGGAGCCATTTTGTTTACCAGGGGCCATTCGATCTGTTATTTTAGTTACACTTAGTCAACAAGGATTGTGTACTGTGTAAAAAGGGCTCAATTAAGGACCAAAACAGTAACGGTAATTACTTCTTTGAAGACATAGCTTTTTCTAGGATGTTATGAATAATTTGTTGTTTTTCTGCTGAGGCCAACTCAAAACCAAAATTCACTACTAATTTTTTACTTAGATATGCAAACATTTGTAAGTAGCCAGCAGAATTGTCATGAGTGAAAGTTGTCTAAAGTTCCATCATCTACCTTAGTTGAGCTCTGAAGGAAGTCTTAGACTAATAATTTACTGTAAGTAAATCTACGGTATTTTTTACAGACACAGATTTAATTGAGAAGGTGTAGTCTGATCGTCCGGGTGAGTGTAGTCCTGAGAAGGACTGTTGTCGGTGGCAGTGACTGACGTTTCGACAACCTGTGCGGAAGTCATCATCAGAGTCAAGTGAGTGATTGTTGTCAGTAGAATGTTCTTATTCCAGTTCGTGTGAAATGATCGGTTGGTTTTGCCGTGATGTTATTGGCTGTAAGACTCAAGTGACGTAAGTCGTTCGTGATTGGTCTGTTTCGGTCTGTCGGTAAAGCTAGGTTGTTCTTTTTCGGTCGTTTGTGATGTTTATGTCGTGAATGAGTCGTTTGTATGGGGCGGGTAGTTGTTGACATCTGTTTAGGGGAGTCTGTTCTAAGTTAGTAAACCAGCTTTCCAGAGTCAGTCGTTGAAAATAGTCAGTGCTGTAGGTTAGGCATTGCGCAGAGTCCCAGTCAATGTTGTGGTTGGTAAGTCGATGGTGTTCAGCAATGTGATTGCTGACATCACCTTTCCTCGTCGCCCGTCTGTGTTCAGTCAGTCTTGTTGTGAGGTTTCTGCCAGTCTCACCGATGTAGGAGGCTTGGCAGTCGGAACAATTGATCTTATAAATCGTTCCCTGTCTGTTCCTCGGTTCGTCTTTGTCTTTAACGTTGGTTAGTAACTGACGTAGTGTGGTGATGGGTTTGTGGGCGACGCGGATATTGAAGGGTAGTAAGATGCGCGAGATGTTTTCAGACATGCCTTTTATGTACGGTATGGTTGCTGTAGTCGTAGGGGTTGCGGTGTCGTTTGTTTCGGTAGTGGTAGTGGGTCGGTGAGTGTTTCGTCGGATGAAGTCGTTGTTGTAGTTGTTCTTCGTAAAAACACGGTGAAGGTATTTGTTCTCGTCGGATAAGCTGTCTGTCGAGTCACATACTAGTTGTGCGCGTCGTGTTAGAGTTCTGATAGTTGTGGCTTTGTGTGATGTAGGGTTGTAGGATGACTCGTCTAGTAATCTGTCGGTGTGTGTCGGTTTCCTGTAAACTGTCGTTCGTAATGAGTTGTCGTTGTGGCTTACCAGGCAGTCTAGAAAAGGAAGTTTGCCATTTTCTTCGACTTCTCTGGTAAACTGTATGTCAGTGTTTTGTTCGTTAAGGTGGTTGTGGAATGCGTCAATTTCGTCGTGTCGAACGGCGGTGAATGTGTCGTCAACGTAACGTAACCAAAGCGGTATCGTTTGTCGGCAAGTCGAAAGGGCGCGTTCCTCGATGTTCTGCATCACAATTTCTGCTATAACAACAGAAACTGGAGACCCCATGGCAGTGCCGTGTAACTGTTTGTAGTGTTTACCGTTGTACTGAAAGTAAGTAGACGTTAGGCAAATGTTTAGCAAGTCCATGATGTCGTCTGTCGGTAGCGGTAGTGG